TTTTTTCCCCTAAAAGCACAGACTGAAAACAGGACAGCGTGCCTGGGTGAGTCGAGAGGTTCCTCCTAGTTTTTCTTTCTTCATACTTGATTTTAACGTCTAGATTTTCATGATCGGCACATCTATAGTGTTACGTCTGTGACGAGAAACAAAAAGAAGCCGTTTCTTTTTAAGTGAGTGGGAAGGAAGTGCCAGCGCCCCCTGCCCGTCCAGGGCTGGGCCTGGGTCCCCCAGATTTTCTGGAGGGAGGTGACAATGCAGCTGTGCCTTCCCGGGAAGCGAGCGGCTGCCTTCTGCCTTCCGGCGGACGGCCGTGAGTCTGCCTGGACTCCCTGCCCCGTGCTCGCCACCAGGCCCGCGCCTGTCTGCCCACAGGCCATGGCCTCCCAGGAGCCGTCACCATCCGTCGGTCCATCCCCTCCTGCCATCCGGCAGCGAAGGCTCTGACACTAGCCGGGGAGCACGTGGGCAATGGAGCACCTTGTCAAAATAACTGTGCTTTCCTCTTTCTGAGTTTCTTGGGCTGCCCCTCAGTGGCTGGGGTACCGCGGGGCGGACGTGACGTGCCCTGCCGTAGTGTCCTCGTCGGCATGGTGAGGGTGAGCGCCGCTGCCCACACGCAGGCGGAGTGTCGCCCGTAGCGGGTCCCTTTGCCCAGGCAGAGATGGGAGTTGCTGAAGGTAACTGTCCTGCACTTAAACGACGGTGGTCGGTGGTCAGTGGAAGAAACGTCCAGACCTGTAGAGTATTTTTACGAGTTTAGTTGAGCCCAACTGATGACAAATGCTGGGAAGCGAATTCTCAACGGGTCGAGAAAACGCCCCAGAGAATGGCAGTATCGCAGCTCGTTTTACACATTCGCATCGGAGGAGGAGGCAAAGCGGGGGTCTCGATGGCGGCGGGTGGGGGGTGGGCGGGGAAAGCACAGTGGCCGAATCTCTGGGATGGGGTAGAGAGCAGAATGGAGGACCCTCACTCTTACGTGGACGCGGGCAGGGTAGCGAATGGTTAATGTTTACGGCACAGGGAGACGGCCGAGGGGGACAGATGATAGCAGGGCTCCGTGGCTCTGCTCTGCCGACGGGCCTGGAAAAGATTACTTTGACCTTTCAAAGGTATGTTATCTTAGATGCACAAAGACAACAGACAGGCTCACTTAAGGTAAAGACTGACCTTTGTCAAGGAAGCTACAGGCCCAGGACGTGACTGCCCGCCATGCCCGCCTTTAGCTAGGAATTTATCTGTTCGGCTCAACCTGCGTGGTCACTTTCGGTCTGGGAGTCTGTCGGGCCAGCAGCCGGCCTCCCCTGAGCTCGTTGGATTTAGTGTGCGGCCCCTTGTGTCATCCACACGGTGTGTTAGTCGTAGATTTTCCTCGCGTATCTCATGCTTTTGGTCGAGTTCTAAAAGCTTCCTCATTACGGAAGTAGTACCTGTGCATCGTGAACATTTCAGAGATTCTTACATGTGTAAGAGAACAGTGGTGTCTCCACGACCCAAGCTCATCGCTGCTCGTAGTTTGTCACAAGCTATTGTGTCCATGCTAAGAGGCCCGTTCTGGTGTCCCACGTTTCGATGTAGCTTTTATTGGCTTGATTGTAATGCCACGAAAATGTTTTTCTCGAGTCGTGGGCTCGGTGATAGTATTGCTGTTACAACTTTTGCTTAAAATTCTCATCTTCCTCCTGGCGTGTAAAAAATGCCGCACAGCGCTCGCTGCCTTCGGAAGTGGCCAGTAATAAACCAGCCCCCGGACGTGTCTGTACCCGCGACTGCCCGGGGCCCGAGGACCTGTAATTGTTACAGAAAATGCATGTGCTCCATGGAATGCTAATTATTCATATTCGTTGCTTAAATCCTGCCCTTGACAGTCATTCTTCTCGAATTGCTCTTTAGGAAAGTGACTTTTCCTCTAACTGTCTCGCCAGGCAGGCTGTGCCTTTTCACGATCGACTTCTCTGTTACAGCGTATTTCAAATGACTGTCCTTTAAAAGTAAACAAAGCAAAGACATGGAAAGCAAGTAGGGGAAGAGAGGGAACGCTGGGGGTGGCAGATGTGGGCAAGTGTGACACGCGCCTTCTGACCCGAGCCTTCTGCTCCTGTCCCCTCTAGGACCAGGCGGAGCAGACCTCTGCTCACAGCCCAGGAAACCTGGCATCATCCAGCCCCCCAGCCCGGTCCGACCAGCGTGCCAGTCACCAAGGTGAGCAGTCACGGAAACTGGGGTCCCAGCTTCAGCCTCGCGACCATGCTAGGACGTCGCATTCTCAGAAATCGTTCTTGTCACTAGTGTACGAAAGTTTTAGCCTTTTTCCCCTTAAAGGAAACCAGATTTAAACAGGAAAACAAATGCTGGGTTGTGGGATCTTCATATATTTCCTTTCGATGAACCGACTTGAGTGAGCAAAACTTAAAAATCGGTCTCATGTGAGTGACCCCACGACCCCACGTAAGGGCAGCTCGGCACTGGGTCTGGAGGGCCCCTCCCTGGGACCTCCGTTCGGTCTCGGCGTGTCTGTGTTCACACTCGGCCCGGTGGTGTGTGTGTAACGCTCCGTGACTCTCTGCTTTTCTACGGTTCCTTCTTTTCCTTCTGGTTAATTTCTGATGGGGTCGTCCTCATGGGAAAGAAATAAAGGAGACCAGAGGGGTCAGGGGTCAGGAAATTAAGTCTCGCATTGAATGCAAGCTCTGCTGTGGGGCGACGAACCCGGAAGGGGAACTGGCCTCTGATCACCGGGCGGAACAGGGAAAAGTGCACGAGGCTGGTCGCTGGGAGTTTGGAAGAGTTTAAGTAGAAGAAACTGAAGGATTTGAACCGCTGGGAGTTAGAATGATTAGATTTTTTTTCATTGCTTGTTGAGAAAAAGACTGAAATTGAGTAAAAATGAAAGCGGGAGTTGAGCGTGCAGTTGAGGAGTTTTCTCGGGTACTAGAAAAAGTAGTTTGCTAAATGCAGTCAGGACTTTCTGCGTCAAGCATACTTTTGGGGTCACCTTTTAGAAAACTTTCAAATGAGACGATGCAAGGAAAAGAGCGTTGATTTGTGAGTATTGGCTCCGAAATGTAGGAAAACTGTAATTTATGACGTCTCGCTGCCTGCAGATGGTCTCGCTGAAATGAAAATAACCTACATTTTGGTATTAACGTTCATATAAAAGGTACGTTAAGGCCCTGATCAGAAAGTCAGAAAAAAACTGCACTGTGAGAACTTTTTAAAGCTTCTCTCTTATACTGTGTCTTTAAGTTGTCCATTCAAATATCGCGCAGATGCCACAGCTACTCAGGTCGTGCCCTTAAGGGGACTCTGTGGCACAGAAGGAGCAACGGGCTTTGCAGCTAACCCCCTTTCCAGCTGAAGCCGGCGTCAGACGTGGCCCAGCACCGAAGCCGCCTGAAGGACCCCCCTGCCTTTACATTGAGCTCAGGTCCCTGGGCTCCACCTCCCCGGGGAGGGCACCTAGGACTTGGGGCACCTTCTCTGCAGGCCTCAGAACCCCCCACACAGCGTACGAAGCAGGGCCCCCGAAGGGCGCGGCTGGCTCAGACGCGGGCAGACATTCCTACAGAGCAGGGGGCACGGCCGACGCCAGGGCCCACCGGGCTGTGGGGCCTCGGCAGCACTGATGGCACTTGGGTCCCCGGGAGTGGTGAGGGCCAAGGTCGGCGCACGTAGCCCGGAGCCGGGGTGGCGCCCCCCCTGCTGCTGAAAGGCCCTGGGAACAGCACATGTGAGCCCACGGCCAGGCAGCCGGGCACAGCTGTCGAGCTGGGGCTGACCCGCCAGCCTCGGCCTCCTACCTTCCACCCCCTCCGCCACACAGGGCCGGGCGGGAGGGAAAACAAAGCACGGCCAAGTGAGTCTGCAAACCTCAGCCCCCCGCCTGGAACGCTCCGGGAGACGGATGACAGAAGAAAGTCTGTAAGAGACACCAGGCGACACGCAGCGGGGAGCAGCAGGGCAGGAACAGGTGGGCGTGAGGGCGGGCCCCTTGGAAATGTGGCGCGTGAAATGTTTAGTTACCGGCATTTCAAGATTCGGTCTAAAGAGAATTAACGAGCTGCAGTCACCTCCCTCCAGCACAGAGGGACATGGAAAAACACGATCGGGCCACTGGACACGGACGCGGAGACAGAGAGGCGAGGCAGGGAGATGGATGGGGGGCCGGCGCGGGGCAGCGGGGGGCAGCGGCGGGAAGCGGCGGGAAGCTGGCTGAGCACCGGCCAGCACTGGAGAGACGGCCCCCGCACCACGCTCCAAAACTAGAAGAAAAAAAAAAAATGAGGAGTGCTTCACATGTGAAAGCGTTTAGCACCGTTTCAGAAAACAAGACGGGAGAAAAATCTGAAGGGGAAAAACAGATTTTCCAACACAGGCACACCCACGGGACTGACAGCTGACTCGGGCACAGTAAATGCCAGGAGGTAATGCAGGATTTTCAAAGGGCCGAGGGAAACAACTGCCCGGCTAGAATTGTATACCAGCAGCTCCTGAAAGCAAAACAAACAAACAAAAATGGTTTTGTTTTTTTTTTTTTTTTCCGGACAGAAATTCAGAAAGTCGGTAACTGGCAGTCCTCACGAGGAGAACGATTAGGGTGTGCGCGTCAGGAGGGGATGCGGGTGCTGGGAAAGGCGAGGAGCAGGGGGCCACGGGGCGCGGAAAACGGGGCGCAGCGTCCTGCCTTCTGTTCCGCACAAACCGCTAACGGGGGTTGAACTGCAACCAGGCGGACGCGGGATGCACGTGCGCGCCGGCCGGGAGCGGGGCTTTGTCTGCCGAGCGGTTAAATCATTATAAGACCCCGGTGAGGAGAAGTAGAATGTAAAGTAACTTGAGACGACACGGGAAAAAAAAAAAAACACACACACACACACAAAACTCTACTTAGTTACGTATTTTAAAATATAAGGTGTAGCTAAAATACTGACTGTAATTACTAAAAGAATATGCATGGAATCTGTAGTTTCCAGCCTAGCAGGAAAAGAGAGAAGGGAATCTACATTTATTAAAAAACAAAACAAACAAAAAACAGAAAGCAAAGAACAACACCAATGTCAAGAGCAGAAAAGGAAGAAGCGTACGATCTGAGAAAAAGGAAGGGCCGGGGCCGGGCCGAGGCGGCGGCAGCGGTTCGTGAGGGCGCCCCGAGCTCAAAGGCGCAGAGTCCGCCCCCAGCGCACACACACTGGACTCTTTTCTAAAACCCGGGTGCTTTTAAAGAAGTTGACTATATGTAGAAAGCCGTGCTAAAATTTAAGCAATCTGTTTCATGCAAGCCACGGTCTTTGACCCAGAGCGATTAAATCAGAAGTCAGCGGGGGAAGGGCCAAACAAAAGCACATTTTTGAGAAAAGTTTAAACGCGTGTGGAAACTTTAGCACACTCTCTGCTCCACTCGTGGGTTAGACAGGAGCACACCTCGAAACTATTGATTGCTGAGAAATGCAGGAAAAATGGACGTGCCGCAGGTCGATGGCCATAGAGTGCCGCCAAAATGGAAGTCGAGACCAAACGTCTAAGTTTCAAAAGAAAGGAAGATGGAAATTTAGAAGAATGAAAATTGAATAAGTCTAAGGAATGTGGAAGGACGTAATTACAGAAACTAAGATCAGAACTTATTGAAATGTCGAAGAAAGTATCAATCGTCGGGAACGAAATCAAAAGCCAGTCTTTGGTAAAATCTACCCGAACCGCACACCTCGAGCACAGACGCCCCGCACAAAGAGAGGCGCACAGAGACCCCAGAAGAGCGCGTCGGAGAGTTAACACGACAAAGCAAGGGAGCCGCGCGCGACTTCATGCCACTGATGTGACAATGTGAGGGAGGCGGACGATGTATCGTAAAAATACGAAAACAAAATTGCGACACCCGGCGCCGGCGAGGACGTGGGGCACCAGCAACCCCGCTCGCCGCCGGGGAGACTGCAGCGCGGCGCGGCCACTTTGGAAGACACTCCGGTGGCTTCTCGCAAAACTAAACACGCCCTTAGCGTACGACCCAGCAATGGCGCTCCTTGGTGTTGACCCGAAGGAGATGAAAACTCACGTCCTCACAAAAACCTGCACGTGGATGTGCACGGACGCTTTCTTCGTAATCGCCGAAACTTGGAAGCCACCAAGATGCCCTTCAGTAGGCGATGGACGAATAAACCGTGATCCGCCCGGACAATAAGATTCAGCGCTAAAAAGAAATGAGCTATCGAGCCATCAAGGCGTGGAGGCGTCCAAAAGGCATATGAGTAAGTGGAAGAAGCCAGTCTGGAAATGCCACACGCTATGATTCTAGCTGTACGGCGACATTCCGAAAGAGGCAGAAGTATGGACCTGCTTAAAAGATCAGCGGTGGCCAGGGGTGGGGTGGGATACGGATGATGAGGGGCGCGCAGAGGACCTTTAGGGCAGTGAAAATACCCTGCATGATACTGTGGTGATGGACATATATCATTAGAAGTTTGTCCAGCCCCTTAGAATGTCCAATACCAAGAGCGAACCCTGGGGTCAACTATGGTCTTTGGGTGACTACGACGTGTCACTATAGGTTCATCCTTGATGAAAGTGCCATCCTAGTGGGTGACATTGATGGTGGGGAGGCTGCGCCTGTGTGGGGACAGCGTACATGGGAGACCTCTGTACCCCCTGAGTTTGTTGTAAGCTTTAAACTGATCTAAGAAAAATAAAGTCTTAAAAAAAAAAATTAAAAAAAAAAAAAAAAACAGAGCCATTTGAAAGAAGAAATAACCTAGAGATTACCTAAGAAAACCAAGGCTGTTTCCTCTGTGTAATACGAATTAAACGTTACATGACGATGAGAGTAGTGTAGAAAACACTCAAAAGTTTGTAGAGCATCCTGAAGAAATAAAAAAGAGTAGTTGAAGGAGAAAAACAAAACATGATTGACTCTCAGAGGACTGAAGTCTTAATAAAGAAATATCTGGAAGAGTGGAGTCAGTTCAGTGCCGTCCCCTGAAAAATATCCAAGCGGTTTGCAGATGAGCATCACGGAACCTTCAAGGAATAAATAAGTTTTCTCTTTATATAAACTGTTGGAGGGGCCGAGGCCGAGGACAGCCCCCCCGCAACCCGCGCCCGCTCTCTTTGTAGTGTATGTGAGCTTTGTAAGAGACAGTACAAGAAATCCAAATATAGGCCCATTTTACATATTAACATGTAACCAAAAAGTCTGTAAAACAGTAACAAAT